GAGGCTGGAGTAACATCTGTCCCATAAATGGATGTCAAAACAAGGCTGGAGTAGCAATACTTATGTCAGACAAAATAGACTTTTAAACAAAGAATATAACAATATACAAAGAAAGGTAGTATATAATCATAAAGGGGACAATTGAACAAGAAGATACAATAATTGCAAATACGTATGCACCAAATATAGGGGCACCTAAATACATAAAAGTCAGTAACAAACATAAAGGGACTAATTAATAACAATACAATAATAGTAGGGTACTTTAACACCCCACTTACATCAAAGCACAGATCATCCAAACAGAAAATCAACAAGGACACAATGGCTTTGAGTGACACAATGGACCAAAGGGATTTAACAGATATATTCAGAACATTCCATCCTAAACCTGCAGAATACACATTCTTTTCAAGTGCACAGAGAACATTCTCCATAATAGATCACGTATTTGCCCACAAAACAAACCTTAACAAATTCAAGAAGATTGAACTCATCCATGCATATTTTCTGACCACCACTCTATGAAAATAGAAGTCAACAAAAAGAAAAAAAAATCTGGAAAGAGCACAAATACATGGAAGTTAAATAACATGGTACTAAACAATGAATGGATCAACCAATAAATCAAAGAAAAAATTAAAAAAAGTACATAGGGAGAGGAGGGAGGAAGATGGTAGAGGAGTAGGGGACACTAGTTTCATCTCACCCATGGAATTCATATAGATAGCTACCAAATCATTCTGAACACCTGTGAACTCAAATGGAGATCTAAGAAAAGAATTGCTACAATTCTACAAATAGAAAAGAGACCACTTTTTGCAAGGTAGGAAGTACAGAGAAGTGAATCTGAGGCCATATATTGCAAAATAAACTGCAGAGGGAGGGAGACTCCATAAGTCAGCTACTGGAAAATGATATAGCAATGGAGTGCAAAATCAGAATTTTTAGAAGTTGGCTTCTTTGAGGGAAGTCCCTGCCTGAAAGGTGCTCAGGTGGCAAAGTGGTGTGGAATCCTGGGTGGCACAGTGTGCTCTCAGGATCCCCTGGGTCTCAGAAAGAATGGGGGTGCCTGCGTACAGCAGAATTCCCAAGCAATGGAGCAGGGAAGCTGGCTGCAATCAGTGAGCTCAGGAGTGGTCTTTCTGCTCAGTGTTGCCATAAATCATGAACTGTGGCTGGAATGGGCTACTGCTATCTGAGCAGGGGCCCAGCAAAAGGCAGAACCCCAGTGAGACCCCTGGGAGGAGTGGTGAGGGTGCACACTGTAGGAGTCTGCAAGGCTTGGACTTGAAATGGAGTCCTGTGCCTGAGATAAAAAAGCTCAGTTGCAAGCTGGGTAAACACAGAGTATGGAAGGAAACCAGGGAGACAAAAGTGACTGACTGATGTTCTGTGAGAACACACTGAAGTGTGGGGGGTGCAATTTTTCAGCTCCATGGCTGGAGATTGTGAGGCCACCGTTTTCATTTTCATCCTCTAAAGTGATGCAGAAAGCCTTCAGGGAATAAAAGCCACGTAAAGCAATACTGAACTGCTTACATTGAACCTGGGCTCCTAGCAAGGGGGGTGCAATTCCACCCAGGGAAAGACACCTGAGAATCAATGCAACAGGCCCTCCTGCCAGAACATCAGCAAGAACATCCAGCTAATACCAAGTTTATCAATCACACAGAACTACAAAACTCCAGCGCTAGAGGAAAATAGTATAAAGAATTCATGGTTTTTCTCATGATTCTTTAGTCTTTCAATTTTAATTATTTTTCATCTTAAATAATTTATTTTATCAGCTCTTTTTTGAAGTCTTTTCTTTAATTTTCATTTTACAGTTACATTGTATCCTTTCATTGTAGGTGATTTTACTTTTGTGTATATATATATATATATATATATATATATATATATATACAAAAATATATAAATATATTTTTTCCTTTATTTACAATTTTGGGATTTGGTTTCTTCTAAAAAACAGACAAAAATACACCCAGGATCTAGTGTATTGCTCTGTTTTGTTCACCTGTCTGATTATATTCTCTCTCTCTCTCTCTTTTTTTTTTTTTTTTTCAGTTTCTGGTCTCTTCTGATCTATTTAGTGTAAATTTCTCTGGGTGGTTGTTGCTATTTTAGCATTTTGTTCTCTCATTCATCTAGTCTTCTCTGGACAGCAAGACAGAAAAACTCACCCCAAAAAAGAGAACAAGAGGCAGTACTGACTACCAGGGACCTAATCAGTATGGATATGAGTAAGATGTCAGAACTAGAGTTCAGAATAATGATTATAAAGATACTAGCTGGACTTGAGAAAAGCATAGAAGACACTAGAGAATCCTGGAGAAATAAAAGAATTAAAATCTAAGCAGGTCAAAATCAAAAAGGCATTTAATGAGATGCAATCAAAAATGGCAGTTCTAACTGCTAGGATAAATGAGGCAGAAGAGAGAATTAGTGATATAGAAGACAAAAGGATGGAGAATAAAGAAACTGAGAAAAAGAGAGATAAACAACCACTGGATCACGGGGGGGGGGGGGGTGGCGGATTCAAGAGACAAGTGATACCATAAAGCAAAACAATATTAGAATATTTGGGGTCCAGAAGAAGAGGAAAGAGGGGGCGCAGAAGGTATATTGGGGCAAATTATAGCTGAGAACTTCCCTAATCTGGGAAAGGAATCAGGCATTCAAGTGCAGGAGCAGAGAACCTCCCTCAAAACCAATAAAAATAGGTCAACACCTTGACATATAATATGAAACTTGCAAATTTCAGAGACAAAGAGAAAATCCTTAAAGTGGCTCAGGAAAAGAGTTCCTTAATCTAAAAGGGTAGAAACATAAGACTGGCAGCAGAACTATCCACAGAGACCTGGCAGGCCAGAAAGGACTGGTATGATATATTCAGGGTGCTAAATGAGAAAAATATGCAGCCAAGAATATTTTATCTAGCAAGGCTGTCATTCAGAATAGAAGAGATAAAGAGTTCCAGAACAAACAGAAACTAAAAGAATTTGTGATCAATAAACTAGCATGCCAGAAATATTAAAGGGGATCCTTTAAGCAAAGAGAGAGCCCAAAAGCAACATGGACCAGAAAGGAACAGAGACAATATACAGAAGCAGTGACTTTATAAGTAATACAATGGCAATAAATGCATATCTGTCAATAGTTACTTTGAATGTAAATGGGCTAAATGCCCCCAATCAGAAGGCACAGGGTATCAGACTGGATAAAAAAGCAAGATCCATTGATATGCTATCTACAAGAGACCCATTTTTAGACTCAAAGGCACCTCCAGATTGAAAGTGAAGGAGTAGAGAACCATTTATCATGCTGATGGACATCAAAAGAGAGCTGGGCTAGCAATTCTAATATCAGACAAATTAGATTTTAAATCAAAGACTACAATAAGAGATGGGGAGGACACTATATAATAATTAAAGGGCCTATCCAACAAGAAGATCTAACAACTGTAAATATTTATGCCCTAACATGGGAGCAGCCAATTATATGAACCAATTAATAACAAAATTAAAGAAACACATTGATAATAATATGAAAATAGTAGGGGACTTTAACACCCCAATCACAGTAATGGACAGATCATCTAAGCAGAAGATCAACAAGGAAACAAGGGCTTTGAATGACATACAGAACCAGATGGCCTTCACAGATATATTCAGAGCATTCCATCCTAAGGCAACAGTGTACACATTCTTCCAGAGTGCACATGGAACATTCTTCAGAATAGATCACATACTGGGTCACAAATCAGGTCTCATCCAGTACCAAAAGATTGGGATCATTCCCTGCATGTTTTCAAACAACAATGCTTTGAAACTAGAACTCAATCACTAGAGAAAATTTGGAAAGAACTCAAAGATAAAGAGGCTAAGAGGCTAAAGAGCATCCTACTAAAGAATGAATGGGTCAACCAGGAAATTAAAGAAGAATTTTTAAAAAATAATGGAAACAAATGAAAATGAAAACAGAACTATTCAAAACCATTGGGGTGCAGCAAAGGCAGTCTTAAGAGGGAAGTATAAGGCAATACAAGCCTTTCTTAAGGAAAAAAAAAAAAAAAGGTCTCAAATACACAACCTGACATTATACTTCAAGGAGTTGGAGACAGAACAACAAATAAAGCCTAAACCCATCAGGAAAAGAGAATTAATAAGGATTAGAGTATAAATCAATGAAATAGAAACCAAAAGAACAGTAGAACAGATCAACGAACCTAGGGGCTTATTCTTTGAAAGAATTAATAAGATCTGGGTGCCTGGTTGGCTCAGTTGGTTAAGCAACTGCCTTTGGCTCAGGTCATGAAAATGGAGTCCCTGGATCAAGTCCTGCATCAGGTTCCCTGCATCAGACTCCCAGGGAGTCTGCTTCTCCCTCTGACCCTCCCCCTTCTCATGTGCTCTCTATCTCTCATTCTCTCTCTCTCTCAAATAAATAAATAAAATCTTTAAAAAAAATTAATAAGGTCAATAAACCCCTGGTCAGATTTATAAAAAATAAAAAAGACCCAAATATATAAAATCATGAATGAAAGAGGAGAGGTTGCAACCAACACCGAAGCTATACAAACAATTATAAGAACATATTATGAGCAACAATATGCCAACAAATTAGGCAATCTGAAAGAAATGGATGCATTCCTAGAAACATATAAACTACCAAAACTGAAACAAGAAGAAATACAAAACCTGAACAGACCCATAACCAACAAGGAAATTGAAGCAGTAATAAAAAATCTCCCAAAAAACAAAAGCCCAGGGCCAGATGGCTTCCCTGGGGAATTCTACCAAACATTTAAAGAAGAGTTAATACCTATTCTTCTGAAACTATTTCAAAAATAGAATCAGAAGGAAAATTTTTGAACTCTTCCTATGATGACAGCATTACCTTGATCCCTAAAACAAAGAAAGACCCACCAAAAAGGAGAATTACAAACCAATATCCCTGATGAACATGGATGCAGAAATTCTCACCATGATACTAACCAATAGGATCCAACAGTACATTAAAGGATTATTCACCACGGCCAAGTGGGATTTGTTCCTGGGCTTCAAGGATGGTTCAACATCTGCAAAGCAATCAGTGTGATAGATTACATTAATAAAAGAAAAGCCAAGAACCATATGATCCTCGTAATAGATGCTGAAAAAGCATTTGACAAACTACAGCATCCTTTCTTGATTAAAACTCTTCACAGTGTAAGGATAGAGGGAACATACCTCAATATCATAAAAGCCATATATAAAAAGCCCACAGTGAATATCATTGTCAATGGGGGAAAACTGAGAGCTTTTCCCCTAAGGTCGGGAACAGGACAGGGATGGCCACTCTCACCACTGTTGTTCAACATAGTACTAAAAGTCCTAGTTTCAACAATCAGACAAGAAAAAGAAATAAAAGGCATCTGAATTGGCAAAGAAGACAAACTCTCACTCTTCATAGATGACATGATACTCTACATGGGAAACCCAGAATACTCTACCCCAAAATTGCTAGAAATCATATAGGAATTCAGCAACATGGCAGTATATAAAATCAATACACAGAAATCAGTTGCATTTCTATACACTAACAATGAGACACAAGAAAGAGAAATTAAGGAATCAATCCCATTCACAATTGCACGAAAAGCCATAAGATACCTAGGAATAAACCTAGCCAAAGAGGTAAAAGATATGTATGCTGAAAACTATAGAATGTTCATGAAAGAAATTGAGGAAGACACAAACAAATGGAAAAATGCTCCATGCTCATGGATTAGAAGAACAAATATTGTTAAAATGTCTATACTACCTATAGCAATCTATACATTCAATTCAATCCTTATCAAAATACCATCAACTTTTTTCTCAAAGCTGGAACAAATAATCCTAAAATTTGTATGGAACCAGAAAAGACCCTGAGTAGCCAAAGGAATGTTGACAAAGAAAACCAAAGCTGGAGGCATCACAATTCTGGACTTCAAGCTGTATTACAAAGCTGTACTTTTCAGGACAGTATGGTACTGGCACAAAAACAGACACATAGATCAGTGGAACAGAATAAAGGACCCAGAAATGGACCCTCAACTCTATGTTCAACTAATCTTCAAAAAAGAAGAAAAGAATACCCAATGAAAAAAAGACAGTTTCTTCAACAAATGGTGTTGGGAAAATTGGACTACCACATGCAGAAGAATGAAAGTGGACCATCTTCTTACACCATACACAAAAGTAGACTCAAAATGGATGAAAGACCTAAATGTGAGATAGGAATCCATCAAAATCCTAGAGGAGAACACAGGCAGCAACCTCTGTGACCTCAGCTACAGCAACATCTTGCTAAACGCACATTAGCAAAGGCAAGGGGAACAAAGGCGAAAATGAACTATTGGAATGTCATCAAGATAAAAAATTTTTGCACAGCAACGGAAACAGTCAACAAAACCAAAAAACACCCAATGGAATGGGAGAAGATATTTTCAAATATCTTATCAGATAAAAAACTAGTATCCAAAATTTATAAAGAATTTCTCAAACTCAACACCCAAAAACAATTAATCTAATCAAGAAATGGGCAGAAGACATGTACAAACATTTCTCCAAAGAAGAGATACAAATGGCCAATAGACACATGAAAAAATATTCAACATCACTCAGCATCAGAGAAATACAAATCAAAACTACAGTGAGATAACACCTTTTCAGAATAGCTGAAATTAACAAATCAGGAAACAACAAATGTTGGCCAAGATGCAGAGAATAGGGAACCCTCTTACACTCTTGGTGGGAATGCAAGTTGATACAGCCACTCTGGAAAACAGTATGGAGGTTCCTCCAAAAGTTGAAGATAGAGCTACTCTATGACTCAGCAATTGCACAACTGGGTATTTGTCCCAAAGATACAAATGTAATGATCCAAAGGGGGACTTGCACCCCAATGTTTATAGCAGCAATGTCTACAATAGCTAAACTATGGAAAGAGCCCAGATGTCCAGTGACAGATGAATGGATAAAGAATACATGGTATATATATATATACAATGGAATATTACTCAGCCATCAGAAAGGATGAATACTTACCATTTACATTGACACGGATGGAACTGGAAGGTATTATGATGAGCAAAATAAGTCAATCAGAGAAAGACAATTATCATATGATTTCACTCTTATGTGGAATTTAAGAAACAAAACAGAGGGGCAAGGGGAAGGGAGAGAAAAATAAAACAAGACAAAATTAGAGAGGGAGGCAAACCATAAGAGACTCTCAATCATAAGAAACTGAGGGTTGCTGGAGGGCAGGGATGTGAGGGGGATCTGGTAAGTGGTTGATGGGATTAAGGAAGGCATGTGATGTAAAGAGCACTGGGTGTAATATACAACTGATGGATCACTGAACTCTACCTCTGAAAATAATAATATACTATATGTTAAATAATTGAATTTAAATTAAAACAATAAACTAAAAATAAAATTTAAAAAAGTACATGGAAAAATATGAAAATGAAAACACAATGCCCAAAACATCTGGGATGCAACAAAAGTGGTTCTAATTTTATAGCAATACAGGTCTGCCTCAAGATACAAGAAAAATCTCAAGCAGCTTAACGTTGCACCTAAATGATCTAGAAAAAGAACAAGAAACAAAACCTAAAACCAGAAGAAGACAATAAATAATAAAAATTAGAAAAGAAATAAATAATATAGAAATCAAAATAAACAAACAAACAAAAACAATAGAGCAGATCAATGAATCCAGGAGCTGGTTCTTTGAAAACATCAATAAAAATGATAAACTTCTAGCCAAACTTATCAAGAAAAAAAAAAAAAAGGAAGGTCTAAGGTAGATAAAATCATCAATGAGAGAGGAGAAATAACAACCAACACCACAAAACACAAATAATTATAAGAGAATATTAGGAAAAACTGTGTCAACAAATTGGACAACCTGGAGAAATAGATAATTTCTTAGAAACATATAAACTACCAAAACAGGAACAGGAAGAAATAGAAAACTTGAACAGATGGATAACCTGCAAAGACATTGAATCAGTAATTAAACACCCCCCAACAAACAAAAATGCAGGGCCAGATGGCTTTACAGTTGAATTCTGCCAAACACTTACAGAAGAGTTAATACCTATTCTTCTCAAACTATTCCAAAAAAATAGAAAAGGAAGGAAAATTTCCAAATTTATTCTAGGAGGCCAGCACTACCCTGATACCAAAACCAGATAAAAACACCACACACACACACACACACACACGAGAGAGAACTACAGGCCAATACTCAAGATGAACACAGGTGCAAAAAATTCTCAATAATAGTTAATAATAGTAATAATAGTAAATAATAGTAAACTGAAACCAACAGTACACTAAAAGCACCATTCACCATGATCAAATGGGATTTATTCCTGGACTGCAAGGAGGCTTAAGATTCATAAATCAATCATCCTGATGGGTCACATAAATAAGAGAAAGGATAAAAACCATGTGATCCTTTCAATAGATGCAGTAAATACATTTGACATAGTACAAGATGAATTTATAATAAAAACTCTCAACAAATAGGTTTAGAGGGAACATACCTCAATATAATAAAGGCCATCTATGAAAAATCCATAGCTAACATCATCCTTAATGGGGAAAAAAACTGAGATTTCCCCCAAGGTCAGGAATAAGACAAGGATGTCCACTCTCACTTTTATTCAACATAGTACTGGAAGTCCTCCCCACAGCAATCAGATAATAAAAAGAAACAAAAGATACCCAAAATTGGTAAGCAGGAAGTAAAACTCTCACTGTTTCCAAATGATATGATATTCTATATAGAAAACTCACCAAAAAAACTACTAGAACTGATAAATGAATTCAGTAGAGTCATAGGATGCAAAATCAATGTACAGAAATATGTTGCATTTCTATACACCAATAGTGAAACAGCAGAAAGAGAAATAAAGAAAATAATTCCATTTACAAATGAACCAAAAACAATAAAATACCTAGGAATAAACCCAATCGAAAAGGTGAAAGACCTGTACTCTGAAAACTATAAAACACAGATGCAAGAAATTGAAGATGACACAAAGAACGGAAAGACATTTCATGCCCATGGATTGGAAGAAGAAATATTATTAAAGTAGTTATACTCCCTAAGCAATCTGCAAATTTAATGCAATCCATTTCAAAATGCCAATAGCACTGTTCACAGAACTACAACAAACCATTCTAAAATTTGTATGGAACCACAAAAGACCCTGAATAGCCAAAGCAATTTTGAAAAAGAAAAGCAAAGCTGGAGGCATCACAATTGAAGTCTTCAAGTTATATTACAAAGTTGTAGCAAACAAAACAGTATGGTCCTGGCACAAAAACAGACACACAGAACAATGTAACAGGATAGAGAACCCAGAAATAAATCCATAACTATAAGGTTAATTAATTTTTGACAAAGCAGGAAAGAATATCTAATGGAAAAGAGTGTCTTCAACAAATGGTTTTGGGAAAAGTGAAGAACAACATGCAAAAGAATGAAACTGGACCGCTTTCTTACACCATACACAAAAATACATTCAAAATAGGTTAAAGGCCCAAATGTGATAAAGGAAACCATTAAAATTCTAGAGGAGAAGACAAGAAGTAATTTCTAAGGTATTGGTTATAGCAAATTTTTCTAGATATGTTTCCGGAAGCAAGGGAAACAATAGGAAGAATAAACTCTTAGGGCTACATCAAAATAAAAAGCTTCTGCATAGCAAAGGAAACAATCATCAAAAGTAAAAGGCAATATATGGAAGTGGTGAAGATATTTGTAAGTGACATATCCAATAAAGGGCTAGTATCCAAAATATATAAAGAACTTACAAAACTCAACAAGGAAGAAATAAATAACCAAATTTAAAATGGACAGAAAACATGAACAGATACTTCTCCAACGAAGACATCAAATGGCCAATAGGCACATGAAAAGATGTTCATCATCACTTATTATCAGGGAAATGCAAATTAAAATTACCATGAGATATCACCTTACACCTGTCAGAATGGCTAAAATCAGAGACACAAGAAACAACAGGTGTTGGTG